AGAGGAGTGGAAGCTGCAGGCGGTTAGAGAAATGAGAAATCCTCTCCTCTGAGCGGTCATTTTAAAGGGACGTCCTTTAATGATGACAGGAGGCACAGCAGCACTCTGTCTGATGGACAGAACTGTGTTCATGACGACTTATATTTACTTTTAATTAATTCACAGTGCGGTATAATGAGACAATAACAGGCTACAAATGCGAACACATACACATTTATATAAATACAATTTCAGAATCAAACAAGTATGAGAGCACTCTCATAACATAACACAATCAGAGACTGGATATATTATTACATAGTTTGGTCACCAGAGAGCAGTAAAAACCATAAAATGTCCAATTTAACCCATCAAATTAAATTTTATTTTCTGAGACGAATAGCTGATATTTTACGATTTTATAAAAATGTTTTCCCCCGTATATCAATAAAAGTATCGGCCTGCTCAATCCAGTATTGGTCTGGGTGTAGATCAAGCTATTTGCTGCTTTCCCTTGATGTTTGTGATCTTGTTAATGTTTTTTTCACGACTGTCTCAGAACTTGACCCGGCTCTATCTCGACAAGGCGACCTTGGTGTGGAATGGGAATGCTGTGTCTGGAAACGATGCTCTGGCGGATTTCTTCGATTCATTGCCTTCAAGCGAGTTCCAAGTTCAAACACTGGATTGTCAGCCAGTTCACGGTTAGTTTCGTGTTAGTTACTATATCAAAACAACTTCTATTGATGATCCTCTAATGAAGAGGGGGATTCCAAATTTGAAGCAGATTAAAATGCCATGGTTGGTATAACTTCAACCATGTGATGTTATTCCATTGAAGGTGCACTAATCGAGGATCAATCTACCCTTTCTTCACAGAACAAGCAACCCAGGGTCAGACTACACTGCTCGTGGTGACTGGTGGGACTGTCAAATTTGAAGGGAACAAACAGCGTTTCTTCAACCAGAACTTTCTTTTAACAGCTCAGGCAACACCCAACAATGACCAGCCTGTTTGGAAGATTGCTAGTGATTGTTTCCGGTTTCAAGACTGGAGCAGCTGAGGCTCTCCCCATCAAAACAATCAACAACATTAATGTAGATGCTTTTTGTTTATATCTCTGTAATAAAATGTCATACACCACAAAATATACAAAAAAATGTTTATTCTTGAACAAGGCATGTGATCATAATAATGGAGTAATAAATACAAACAGGATCACCAAACTGTAGAGACGGTCAGTGTCCATAACATATTTTAATGATGCAAATACAATTACACGACAACACTTTGAAAAATACATAGAAAACACTCATTTAAAATGAACAGACTCCACTTCGGATAACCTTCTGATACCAAATTGTACATTAACTGAGGTAAAAGACACACAGTATTATAGACACTTCCTGACTAGCTAATGCTAGCAGTTGGTTTGGAGACAAGCATGCCTGCTCTTAAATAAATAAGGTGCCCACAAGAAATTCAACAAAAGAGCTTTGTATACAAGTAACCCATTTTTTTGACAGTTCATATATTAAAGCATTTGCTTAGCTTCCTGAGTCATTTGTGTTCACACATGTAGGTCTGACTTATTGAATAAGTTGACACAAATAAAATAAATAAAACATTGGACAGGAAAAAAAATAGTTGATAAGCAGACATGATCACATGTATGGTTTATGTATGATCCATGTCGGAGTATCTGTGTGGGAATATATTTCCCCAGTTAAGCCATTTTTGTAACAAAGCACAAACCTATTTGTTTGAATAATTTAGCTGACACTTCTGCGTGACTACACGAGTACTGCAGAGTGAAGGCACAGTAACATTAGTACTCCAAAACAGGAAAAAAAAAGCCTCGTGATGATAAAAGTTGTTCATATTTTCAAACAAAAGTAACGAAAAAGCATCAGCAACATAGAGGACAGTGGTATGTTTTTTAACATAAATCAGCTACAACCAGTGCCAGCGGATTTAAGTGAATGGCAGTGCTGTAACGGTCTCAGACCCTTTTCATGGCATACGAGTTGCAAGTTGAGTGCATTTCTTTTGACAATCAAAACTCATGTACACGAGAATAGAAAGCAGCACACATGGATCGACTACTATCTACAGCTTTTCTTTTCAAGACATATTCAAGGTCGACGCCAGTGGTACACAAACAGCATTAAAAATCATATCGGGTACCGGGAAGATTATTTACATTGTTATAGTTACACTGGAGACTCTTAGGTGGAATTGAGCAGTTATTTGCCTCCGTACATTCTCTCTATGTGGTGGAGATAGTGGTTCTTCAGCTCTTTCCTCTTCAGCTTGAAAGCATCTGTGACCAGGCCCGTCTCAGGGGTCCATGGCTCTGGACTCAGGTGGACCTTGACTGGAATCTCAAATCGCTGAAGTTTTACTGAATGGATGAAAGACAAAGAGAACAGTTCATCTCACATACATTCTTCACAGTATAGTGAAATCTATAATGCTCTTTTTTACTCAAATATCAGTACATACTGTTTCCCATTTTTATTTTTGAACTTCTTACTCTTGATACGGTTCCAATTTCTAAATAAATATATTTTTTTGCTTATTTTTGTGAGAAAAATGTACAAATGAGGTAATTATTATTAATTTGTATTAATGAAATGAGCATTGAAACAATAACACATTTTTTATAATATATAGTTTTGGCTCAATCAATTTTTTTTAAATATAGGGATAAGGACAGAATGAGGATTGTGCATTTAGTAAAGATAATCTCTACAGCTTTTTCACACAGTTATAAAAACACATGATCAGTTCTTACTGTTAGCAGCAACCTCCTTGATCTCCCTCAGAACCTCTCTCTCCATGTCGGGGTGAGTGCAGATCTCCTCCCATTCTCCCACAATGCCTTTCTTCCTGGCCAGTTCTGTCATCCTCTTCTGGTCGGGAACCACAAAGCTGATTACGTAGTTTTGCTCACTGAGATAACAAAAGAAAATGAAAGTTGATAAACTGAAACCTTTAAAATAGTTGAAGTAGTCTTCTAAGTGGCAGACAGGGTTGGGTTGTAACGGAATACATGTAACGGCGTTACGTAATCAGAATACAAAAATCAAGTAACTATTCAGCTCGCGTTACATTTGAAAAACGAGTAATCTGATTACAGTTACTTTCGTAAACCTGAAGTGAATATATTTTGGATTACTTATTGGAATTATTGGTGGAAAGATTTCCTCACAACATTTAATATTCATTACTAAAGGTACAGCCGCACAAAACCTATCACCGCCGCAGATGGACCAAAAAAGAGAGCGTTTGAAAAAAATGTGCGGGTCCGCTCAGTGAAACGATAACAACGAAACATGGAGGAACAAAAGTCTGCGTTTAAATCGTGTGTGTGTGTGTGTGTGTGTGTGTATGTGTGTGGTTAAAACACATCAGCCTACGGTCGCTCTTAGCCTTTCTAATGATTCTGAAGGTAAACACAGTGAAGGCGGTGCGTGAAAGGCACTGCGCGCTCCTCTTCTCAGAGGCTGAGTTAGCCCTCCCACTGCCTCCTGGTGCTGCAGAGATTTCATGAAGTGAAGGAGGTTTTCCTTCTATAAAACAGCTGTGGGCAGCATATACTGTGAGGGTCACAGACATGAATACATAGATCAAGGCAGACTGGTGCACACACTCTCCTGTTTTGCCAATCTGGTGCTTGAACAAATATAGCTCTAAACCCCTGGCCGAAATGTCCT